CTATTTTCAAGAAGTGGAGGAAGAAGGATCCAGGCAACTACAGGCCAGTCTCACCTCCATCCTTGGCAAAGTCTTTGAAAAGATTATTAAGGCTCATATATTTGAGAGCCCATCAGGAAAAATTATTCTGAGGGGAAAGCAGCATGGGTTCATAGCAAGTAGATCATGCCTGACTAATCTAGTCTCTTTTTATGACCAGGTTACAAAACACCTTGACACAGGAGTAGGGTTTGATATCATTTACTCAGACTTCAGGAAGGCCTTCGATATGGTATCCCACCCCATACTGGTGAACAAGTTAAGAGGCTGTGACTTGGATGATTGCACAGTCCGGTGGGTGGCAAATTGGCTAGAGGGTCGTACCCAGAGAGTGGTGGTGGACGGGTCGGTATTGACCTGGAGGGACGTGGGCAGTGGGGTCCTTGGACCGATACTCTTCAGTGATTTCATCAGTGACTTGGACGAGGGAGTGAAGTGTACTCTGTCCAGGTTTGCGGATGATACAAAACTGTGGGGAGAAGTGGACACACCGGAGGGCAGGAAACAACTACAGGCAGACCCGGACAGGTTGGACAAATGGGCAGAAAGCAATAGAATGCAATTTAACAAGGATAAATGCAAAGCGCTGCGCCTAGGGAGGAAAAATGTCCAGCACACCTACTGCCTAGGAAATGACTTGCTCGGTAGCACGGAAGCAGCAAGGAATCTCGGAGTCCTAGTGGACTCCCAGGTGAACATGAGTTGTTAGTGTGACGAAGTCATCAGAAAAGCTAACTCTACTTCATCATGCATCTGCAGATGCATGACAAACAGAACCAAGGAGGTGATACTTCCCCCCTATCGGGCACTGGTCAGACCGTAGTTGGAATACTGCGTGCAATTTTGGGTGCCACATTTCAAGAGGGATGTGGATAACCTGAAGAGGGTCCAGAGAAGGGCCGCTTGTATGGTTAAGGGCTTGCAGGCCAAGCCCTACGAGGAGCGACTAGGGCACCTGGACCTCTTCCGCCTCCACAAGAGAAGGTTGAGAGGAGACCTTGTGGCTGCCTATAAATTCATCATGGGGGCGCAGAAGGCAATTGGTGTGGTTCTACTCACCAAGGCGCCCTGGGGGGTCACAAGAAATAATGGCCATAAGCTAGCAGAGAGCAGATTTAGACTGGACATTCGGAGGAACTTCTTCACAGTTAGAGTGGCCAAGGTCTGGAATGGGCTCCTAAGGGAGGTGGTGCTCTCCCCTACCCTGGGGGTCTTCAAGAGGAGGTTGGATGGGCATCTGGCTGGGGTCATCTGAACCCAGCACTCTCTTTCCTGTCTGTGCACGGGGTCGGACTCGATGATCTATTGAGGTCCCTGCCGACCCTAACATCTATGATATAACTTGATTATGCTAGTCCTTTGTAAAGGAAAATATTACAAAATGAGATGTCTGCATATGCAGGCCAGCCCTGATTGAACTCTGATTGTCAATAAAACAACATTTTTCAGTTAGGTTGACTAAATATAGCTTAATCAAAAATAATGTATTTAGTCAAGATATTGTAAAAATATTTTAAGGGATTTTGTGAACATTTGATCACCGGCTAGAGAACCTGCATCTACCTGCAACCTCAGTCTATTACGCAACTCGGGAAACCTTCCTTTGAACCCACAAGGAGAGTATTTGGTTTATTTTTTTCAATTTAGACAGCCTCTATTATAGCTAGTGCATCTACTTGAGCTGTGAGAGAGGTGTAGACTCGCCTGGCCTGGTCCTCTATCCCTAGTAATCTTTCACAAAGTTGTCTTTTGTTCTGAAATTTTTCCATAAAAGTATAACATTTGACTGGAATCGGTTCATAAATTGCTAATTACTTCCCATTTGACTGGAATCGGTTCATAAATTGCTAATTACTACTAGCTTTGGCTGCTAGAGGTAGTGGAAGGAACTGAGGCGGGCAGTGGCGTGCCACCTTTCATAGCTGTGTCCTCTGAATATTTGGGGCTGCACGTTAAGCAAAGGGCGTGCAACTGCTCAGACGTATCGTCTGTACATTGTAAGAGCGTAAGCAGTCGTTTTGCAGATGGGTGGGTAACCTTACTTGCCCTTGTTTTTAATAAAGTTGCCTGAGTAAAATGTTATGATGCTATAAAATGTTTTAATGAACTGTTTTGAGTAGACACCCTGTGGTCTGAGCTAGCTTCAGACTATTTTAATACTCTAATAACTGAACTTTTTGTGTTCTCTGTAGATCAACAATAAGGCAGCAACTGGAGAAGAAGTTCCACGTACCATCATTGTTACCACACGTTCTCAGTATGGATTACCAGAGGATGCTGTGGTGTACTGCAACTTTAACCAGCTGTATAAGATTGATCCTTCCACTTTACAAATGTGGGCTAATGTGAGTAGCTATATGTTTGTTTGTCATGAAGTATCAGGTCAGATCGCTAGAATTTGGCTGTTGTCTTGTCTACAGGAATAGTTTTACCATGAATCACAGGCCTCTAAAGTAGTCTGCATTGAGTTCAGAAAAAAGTATGCGCCTGACTTGTTGGGAATATTTACGTGGTTTGAAAGAAGCCCATATCCTATGAACAGTCTTCTTCGTGGGGGGGTAGGGTGTTAATGGGACTAGAACCCTTTTAGGTCTGATTTAAAATTGATACGTGTGGCTAATTGGTGAAAATCATCATTTCTTTGAGAGGCTTTTTAATGGTCTGCATGGAGCAAGTTTCTAATTCTGTTGGCGCAGTGACCTTTATAGCCTTGTCAGAAGGTGATGTTTCTGAAAGCTTTTTCTGTTTTCTTCCTGCCTTGTGTTTAGATTCTTAAGAGAGTTCCAAACAGCGTGTTATGGCTCTTGCGTTTCCCAGCTGTCGGAGAACCCAATATCCAACAATATGCCCAGAACCTGGGCCTTTCCCAGAATCGAATCATCTTCTCTCCTGTTGCACCAAAAGAGGAACATGTGAGAAGGGGCCAGCTGGCTGATGTTTGTCTAGACACTCCACTTTGTAATGGGCATACTACCGGGATGGATGTACTCTGGGCTGGGACTCCCATGGTCACTATGCCAGGTAACGTGTCAGGAAAACAAAACTGTTGAACTATATGATGGCTGGTTATGTTGAATGCAGTTATAGATCTGCAGCTCCTGTTTCTGATGTTGGTTTTCTTAATAAAAATGCTTAGTGTGTTGAGTTCATGGACAAACATAAATTCACCTTCTTTCTGTGCTACGAGCTGAATTTAAGTGCAGCCTAATTCCATTATACCCTACTTAGTGGTTGGGTTTAGTTATACTTCATAAGTAGCATTTTGTAGTGACAGCCCCTTCTGTGCATATCCTTGGAGAGGAAGGAGAGAAATAATTTTATTTAATAGACATGTTAAGAATCAGAAAGTTTTGATGCTGTGTTCTTTATTTTACAGGAGAGACTCTTGCGTCACGAGTTGCTGCATCCCAGCTTACTTGCCTCGGTTGTCTTGAGCTTATTGCAAAGAGTAGACAGGAATATGAGGATATTGCTGTAAAACTGGGAACTGACCTAGAATAGTAAGTAGGTTCATTTTGTGGAATGAGTAGAAGATGCCATGTGGAGTTTAGTGAACATTAGCAATCAAAATGGAATAAACTCCTGTCAGCACCTAAAGTAGCAGACTAATTTTTAACCATTAAAATAACAGAATGGCTGGCCTCCAGGATTTAAAGCCAGTAAGGGGATTTAGTAGTGAGGATGGAAGGTCTGAACCTTACTAATGTGTGAGGCTGGGCCAGGATTCTGCTTACTCTGTTGTTGGGAAAGGGTTTCAGTACATGGTTTTAGCAGAAGGCTGGATGGGGAGGATGAGTAGAAGTTTTGCTTCGTTGCACAGAACCTGGAATTGTATGCTGCAGACAGTGGGTAGGAAGTGATGAGAGTTTTTGCCTACACCTGGATGAGTCGTGGGTCTCCTGTAAAGCACAGTTCACAGTTGTTCTCTGTAATGCACGCTACATGTTTGTATCACAAGTGCTGGCTAATCTGTAGCAGTCTCCAGGAATAGTGTTCCACACCTGAAGATGGGGAGACCAGAAAGTGATGGGCAGAACTGAAAGAAGAATGTCCTGACTCCTAAGCTTATGCTTTCTGCTGTAGTTCATACTGCCTTTCAGAAGCTCGTTTTATCAATTCACGGTCTTTAGGGTTGTGAATGGGAGTGCGCACATACGTACTGAACCAAGGCATCTTAGGAGATTGTCGGTTTCTTCTTTGACCGAACGGAGAACTATAGAATAATTGGATGAGTCTTCTGCCTGGAGACTATAAATCACTTTCTGTGCTTAGTGATGGATGCACTAACACAGTGGACTTTTTGTAGAAAAATTTGGAACGAGTATGTTCATTTCCAATTTAGAGAGAAGCTGGAATGAAATAAGAGAGATTTCCAGTCTGGGGTGCTGTTTTATGGAGCTGAGTTGGATTGGTGGTGCTGGTTAATGATGTTCTAGCCATACTTAAGACACAGTGGCCGTAGCATTTTTAGCTAAAGCGAGAAAGTTGAGTTTATTCCTTTGGCAGACAAGAATGCCAGTGAAGATGAGCTTTTAGGGCAACAGTGTGAATTCTGGAAGCTTGGGAATAACACATCTGCTTAAAATGAGTTTTGGGAATTCAAAGTTAGGTAACCGTTTACTAAACCCAGCATGTTCCTACGTTGTCACTGTTTCTGACTGTTGTATCTCTTTCTGTAGCCTGAAGAAAATTCGTGGTAAAGTCTGGAAGCAGAGAATATCCAGTCCTTTGTTCAACACAAAACAGTACACGATGGACCTGGAACGACTTTACCTTCAGATGTGGGATCACTGTGCTGCTGGCAACAAACCAGACCATATGATCAAGCCGGTAGAGACAAGTGAATCTGCATGAGACTGCCCACGTGGAACTCTCCAGGAACTGAGCCTCGCCAACTCCTTTTTAAAGGGGGGGGGAGCTCAAGACTGTGCATTTCTACTTAATCTGCCTGGTACTCTGTGGCTGAAATGATACATGGTGGTGATTAGAGCACAGCCAGACATATTACTTGCATGATAGGAAGAGATTCTATAAAGACTGCTGGGACCCTTTTATTCAATGCGGGACTGAGCTGTGCACATGTGCTGTATGTAGGCAAGACCTGGTGCGTGGTGGGGAAAGTGTGAACTGCCCAACCAATTGTGATTTTTTTCATGGATTGATTCAGTCGTCCAATGAATTATTTCTCTCCTCTGTGGATTGGGAATTGGAGCTTTTTAATGTTTGATTTCAGGTATTCCTGTTGGTATATGTGTGGTTTTCCCATGACAAGATTTTCAGCTAGTGTATGTTGCACCCTGCATTAACTTTTCAACTGTGCAGACTGAAAGGGCGTATTTGCTGGTGTAGTCTTTTTTTTATAGGTTTTATAAACCACTTGAGCCTATATCAGCCTTTTAATGTTTGACCTCTGTTTTTGGAGCTTTCTGTATTGTGTTGATTTAGATGAGGACTCGGTGCGTTTCACGTGGGTTTTTCTTTTTTTTTTAAGCTTCCCTGTAACAACTAATTGGCTTCGTGATGGCAGCTCCTATTCTGTTGAAAAACCAAATTTGAGTTCAAATTAATGCCCCTTCTCCCTCCTCTGCCCTCCAGAGTGTTTGAAGTAAACAAACCTGGTGCCAAATAAACCCTTCAGGAATGATTGTTAATTATGTATAGTGGCACAGTCTTAGGTACTGTAGCAAGGCCTTTTTTTTTTTTCTTTTTCTTTTTTTTTTTCTTTTTTTTTTTAAATAAAGCTTTGATTTGCCCAGTTTGATCTACTTGACCAACGTTTTGCTTTTACAACCCTTTCCATGCTGCTGTCAAAACCTAGCGTTCTGGGCTGCTGTCTTTTGACTTCATTTCTATAGGTGGCTTTAAATATTTTAATTTATTTCAGCAGAAATGTTATTCCAGGTAAGTATAGATTTTCATCAACTAAACATCTGCCTTCAGTATGTCTCTAATGTTAAAACATATTCCAAATCTAAAGCTCTAAAGGGCTATGTATATACTTAATTTTTGCAGTATTTTAGGGCCTTACAGAGGCTACCTTTTTTACTTTCCTTTCCTGTACTGTCCCAGCTTCATCACGCTGTGTGGTAATGTGGAGGCTGTGGTCTTGTATGTAAACTGAATAATGAGTTTTTGTATTGAACAAGCAGGAACCAATAACCTAATTCGTAAAGCTCCACAGAGGGTCACGGACTGCAGTTTAAAACCAGTGTCAGTCTTGCTAGCTGTACTACATGGTGCTGCTCAGTTACAGGTAACAAATTTGTCTGCTACTAGTGCTGCACTGGAGAGTTGTATTCTTTTGCTGCTTTGGTGCACCTTTCATCTAGTCTCAAATGATGCTTGGATGTGTCCTAACGGGTGAATTCTTAAGTGTCCACACATTGGTTTTCTGGCAGCATCTTATTTGTGGCTACAATATGAGCAAGACATCTTGGTCACAAGTCTCAAAGGAAAGTTTGCACATTAATCAGTTGTACTGTTTTATTGCAAGTTGTCTGTGCCATAGCTGGGCTTTCTTTTCTTTTTCCCCCCCTTTTTTTTTAACAAACTTAAGGCAGTAAAGGTGACTGCATCCTAAGGGCTGCTGTTGCACGTTACTGACCCTGGTTTGGAGTAGGCTGCATTGTGTCCATTCTCAACGTGGATGCTGTATCCCCTGAACACTTGAGCCTCCAGTTCGCTCTTAGGCAAACCAGCGATCCCTGCCGCAGGGTATAGCTGCTCACTTGGCTTTGCTGACTGTAACAGGCTTGTTTCCACGTAAATGTCTGATTTTAAAAAAGAAAAAACACCATAAATACAGATAAAGATCTTACTGGAGAGTGTGTGTATGTGTGTGTATGCTGCAGGCGCCTCCATGCGCTCTTCTCCCCAGGCTGCAGCGGTGGAGGCGGGGCGGGAGGGGAGTCGGTCGTGCCCTCGGCCCTACAGGCTCCGGCTGCAGGACGGTGCCAACGCGGAGCTTCGCGCGGGCCGAGCCGTGCCAGACGTCGGCGGGGCGGGGCGACCACGGCTTCCCGCTGCGACTGCGGACACCATGGCCCGGGCTCCGACGGGGACCGGGACGGGACGAGGGACCTGCTCGGAAGCGAGTGGCTCCACCCCCGGCGGCCAGTGGCCGCGCATGCGCCCCGCGTGCCGGAAGT